TCAAACTTTAAATATAAGTTTCTGGTCATCAACCACATCATATGTGACAAGGTTTACAACTCTAGCACAAAAATTATCAATATTACCTCCCTTTAACTTAGAATTTTTATGAAAAAAAATGTTTCTTTTTTTAAATAACTTCTTTATTTCCTAATGTATCTACTTCAAACTTCATATATATGTTTCTTTTTATCACTCAACATTTTTGAGAAGGTCAAATACTCTAGCAAGACTATTTCTAGAATTATGTCCACCTTGAACTTAGATTTTTTTCGAGAAATTGGTATTTTTCACTCCAACTTCTTCATTCCTTATAGGATTTACTTTAAAATCCCACATAGTAATAATATGACAAGGTTGTATAAACATAATTTCCTTACTAGGCAGGGAAACTTAACACATTACTGTGATATAGACAAACTTAGAACTCAAAAGATTTAAGTTCATTATGTCATTCGTTCACTGGTAAAATTGAATGGCCAATGGCCCATCAGAATGTTGCTGGGGTTCTAATCGGTAGGGGACTTATGGATTGCTTGCAATACTATGATAAATGCTTGTTTGTTTTTGTTTTGTGTTTTATTGTGATTTTTTACTTATAAATTATATGTGACATTATTCTGTCACTCTAGACAATCTGTAATACATGTATAATAATTGAAGATATAAATTTTAAGATTGTATTTTATATCATTCTTTGTGTATGCATCCATCACAACACTGTATACAATGTCTTGGAATTTTATCTTATTATTTAACAGCAAAATAATTCCAGCACTTACTTTTCTTCCTTTCTTTTTTTTGAATTTTATTTTGTATAAGCTTGTCTCTTTCATAGAAAAGTTAAGCTATTGTGAACTCGTCAGTATCATTGTTGTTGTGCAAAAACTTTAATAAAGCCAATCTTTCAAACAAAATGTTTCATGTGTCCATTGTAAGTAAATGCAAAATCTAGGTTAGTAAGTCAAAAAAGTCAAGGTAACTGCATGTGATTGAATTTGTTGCATTTCATAGTACTCCTAATTCATGTGACACTATAAACATTTTTATGCCCCCACAATGTGGGAGCATATAGCGTTGCACTTGTCCGTCCGTCAGTCCGTCCGTCCGTCCGTATGTCCCGAAATCTTGTGAACGCAACTCCTCTTAAACCGGATGGCAGATTTTGCTTAAACTTACAGGGATGAACAACCTTAATGTGTAGATGGTAGTAAAGGAAGGAATTTTTGCTGCGACTAAATTTAACAGAATTATGGCCCTTTGTTGATTTTTTCACTAGATACTATGTAGAAATTTTGTGAACGCAACTCCTCTTAAACCGGATGGCAGATTTTGCTTAAACTTACAGAGATGAACAACCTTAATGTGTAGATGGTAGTAAAGGAAGGAATTTTTGCTGCGAACAAATTTAACAGAATTATGGCCCTTTGTTGATTTTTTCACTATATACTATGTAGAAATTTTATGAACGCAACTCTTCTTAAACCGGATGGCAGATTTTGCTTAAACTTACAGAGATGAACAACCTTAATGTGTAGATGGTAGTAAAGGAAGGAATTTTTGCTGGGACCAAATTTAACAGAATTATGGCCCTTTGTTGATTTTTTCACTATATACTATGTAGAAATTTTGTGAACGCAACTCCTTTTAAACCGGATGGCAGATTTTGCTTAAACTTACAGGGATGAACAACCTTCAGGTGTAGATGGTAGTAAAGAAAGGAATTTTTGCTGCGACCAAATTTAACAGAATTATGGCCCTTTTTTTATTTTTTCATTATATACTATGTAGAAATTTTGTGAACGCAACTCCTCTTAAACCGGATTGCAGATTTTGCTTAAACTTCCAGGGATTAACAACCTTAATGTGTAGATGGTAGTAAAGGAAGGAATTTTTGCTGCGACCAAATTTAACAGAATTATGGCCCTTTGTCGATTTTTAGTTTTCAACTTGTGGCACATGTAGTCCAAAAAATATTTGACCTAGAGTCATAAGATTGACAGAACAGTGGCGTGTGGGGGCATCCGTGTCCTATGGACACATTTCTAGTTTCATTGTTAAATTAAGCTGAATTAATAACATATTTCACAAAATTTACAATTATATTGGTGATTCAGAATAAAGTGTATTATTCTGAAAATGATTTTGGCAAAATGTTACTTTTGACAATAGTGCCAGTGTCATATTTAATTCTAATTCAATAATACACCATAGCATTGCATTAAAACTTACAAATAATCACCATAAAAAAGAATGCCAATATTTGCTTTCTTGATGTCAATGTAGATCTGTGACCTATTGATGGAAATGTGTTGTTTTGTTGAATTTGTAGTTGCACCAACACTGTTATGGTTATAAAGATATTCCAGTTTTACTTTTTGAGGAAGACCTCAAATGTAGGTTAACACAAAAATTGAATATAAATTTTAAAGTGGCTTGTCTATTGGATATTAAAATTAAGGAACTGTAGTAAACTACACACAGGTTTTATGCCAGTGTGGTACGGCATTAGATTACACATATGTTATTTACGAGTTATGTATGGTATTAGATCACACACAGGTTATTTGACAGTAAAGTACAAAAGTTGACTTCATAAACCTGTAGGTTATATGCCAGTAAAGTAAGGTAGCAGACAACACACAAGTTATATGCCAGTAAATTAAGGTAGTAGACTACACACAAGTTATATGCCAGTAAATTAAGGTAGTAGACTACACACATGTTATTTGCCAGTAAATTAAGGTAGTAGACTACACACAGGTTATATGCCAGTAAATTAAGGTAGTAGACTACACACAAGTTATATGCCAGTTAATTAAGGTAGTAGACTACACATAGGTTATATGCCAGTAAAGTAAGGTAGCAGACTACACACAAGTTATATGCCAGTAAATTAAGGTAGTAGACTACACACAGGTTATATGCCAGTAAATTAAGGTAGTAGACTACACACAAGTTATATGCCAGTAAATTAAGGTAGTAGACTACACATAGGTTATATGCCAGTAAAGTAAGGTAGCAGACTACACACAAGTTATATGCCAGTAAATTAAGGTAGTAGACTACACACAGGTTATATGCCAGTAAAATAAGACATCACATAGGCTATATGAGTAAGGTGCTGTAGTAGGCTACACACATATTATATGCCTGTAAAGTAAGGTAGTTGACTACATGCAGGTTATATGAGTAAGGTGTTGTAGTAGACTACACAATGTTATATGCCAGTAAAGTAAGAAAGTAGACTACACACAGGTTATATGCCAGTTAAGTAAGATAGTAGACTACACACAGGTTATATGCCAGTTAAGTATGACAGTAGACTACACACAGGTTATATGCCAGTTAAGTAAGGTAGTTGACTATACACAGGTTATATGCCAGTAAAGTAAGATAGTAGACTACACGCAAGTTATATGCCAGTTAAGTAAGATAGTACATTACACACAGGTTATATGAGTAAGGTGCTGTAGTAGACTGCACATAGATTTTATGCCAGTACAGTAGAAGAATACACTTAGGTTATAAGCCAGTAAAGTAAGGTTGTAGACTGCACATAGGGTTTTATGACGGTACTGTAGAAGAATACACTGAGGTTATAAGTCAGTAAAGTAAGGTAGTTGATTGCACACGGGTTATATGCCAGTACAGTAGAAGAATACACTGAGGTTACAAGCCAGTAAAGTAAGGTAGTAGACTGCACACAGGTTTTATGCCTGTACAGTAGAAGAATACACTGAGGTTATAAGCCAGTAAAGTAAGGTAGTAGATTGCACACAGGTTATATGCCAGTACAGTAGAAGAATACACTGAGGTTATAAGCCAGTAAAGTAAGGTAGTAGATTGCACACAGGTTATATGCCAGTACAGTAGATGAATACACTGAGGTTATAAGCCAGTAAAGTAAGGTAGCAGACTGCACACAGGTTTTATGCCGGTACTGTAGAAGAATACACTGAGGTTATAAGCCAGTAAAGTAAGGTAGCAGACTGCACACTGGTTTTATGCCGGTACTGTAGAAGATATACACTGAGGTTATAAGCCAGTAAAGTAAGGTAGTAGATTGCACACAGGTTATATGCCAGTACAGTAGAAGAATACACTGAGGTTATAAGCCAGTAAAGTAATGTAGTAGATTGCACACAGGTTATATGCCAGTACAGTAGAAGAATACACTGAGGTTATAAGCCAGTAAAGTAAGGTAGTAGATTGCACACAGGTTATATGCCAGTACAGTAGAAGAATACACTGAGGTTATAAGCCAGTAAAGTAAGGTAGCAGACTGCACACAGGTTTTATGCCGGTACTGTAGAAGAATACACTGAGGTTATAAGCCAGTAAAGTAAGGTAGTAGATTGCACACAGGTTATATGCCAGTACAGTAGAAGAATACACTGAGGTTATAAGCCAGTAAAGTAAGGTAGTAGACAGCACTCAGGTTATATGCCAGTACAGTAGAAGAATACACCGAGGTTATAAGCCAGTAAAGTAAGGTAGTAGCCTGCACACAGGTTTTATGGCGGTACAGTAAAAGAATACACTGAGGTTATAAGCCAGTAAAGTAAAGTAGTAGATTGCACACAGGTTATATGCCAGTAAAGTAAAGTAGTAGACTACACCCTAGTTATATGCCAGTAAAGTTAGGTAGTAGACTGCACACATTTTAAATGCCAGTAAAGTAAGGTAGTAGAATACACACAGGTTATATGCCAGTAAAGTAAGGTAGTATTATATGCCAGTAAAGTAAGGTAGTAGACTACACACAGGTTATATGCCAGTAAAATAAGGTAGTAGACTACACCCAGGTTATATGCCAGTAGAGTACAGCAGTAGACTACAGTCAGGTTATATGACAGTAAAGTACTGTAGTAGTCTACACAATGCAGGTTATTTTAAATTAAACTTTGTAAAAAAACATTAAAACTGCTAATTCAGAAGTGTTCAATAATTAATTACAATACAAGATCAGATTATCACATTTATTCAACTCTTTTTTTAAATAATTGACAATTGCACCATTATCAAGGAATATTTCCTTTAACTTGCAGAATAACAAAACAATCTGACATTATAACTGGCAAACAGTTTTCCATACAAGGAATTTATCATTAAGGCAAGACCTTAACAAATGCCAACACTGCGCACAAAAAACATTGTTTTGAAGGGCGGGGTATATATGATTTATTTAGTTATAAGCTAGAATTATGTCACAAATCTAAATAACATATGCATTTACATTAAGAAAATTAATGAAATTTAGTTTAAATACCATTGTTATGATAAAATTCCCACCCTAAAAAAACAACAACAATTTTCAACAACAAACAAACAAAATCTAACCCAGATGCCATAAGAGTGGAAGGGGTAAGAAACGAACGGTAAAATTCATTGCATAAATCTAAAAAAAAAACATTTTCCTATTTGGTTTGGATTTAAGATGATTTGACACAAAAAGGTGAAATATCCCTTGTTACATGTTAAATATGAATGTTTTTGAAATATGTTATGAAAATAATATGGAAAACTACTATAATTTTACAAGTCAAAAGAAATAAACCAACATATTATGTTAAATTAATCAAAATCTAAGTTATTATATCAGCTATTAAGACTACCAAAGTCAAAAGACTTCAAGTCAAATTCAATAAAAGTTTGTTATTTTTTCACCAGCTCCTTAACAATGTGTGTTTGTTTGTTTGTTTCATTTTACGCCTTTTCCCAACAGTATTTCAGTCATATAGGCGGGTAGTTTCCTAACCATCGTTCCTGGAGAGTTACACCAGTACTAAGCTACCTGCCTCCGTGCTAAACAACCAAAGCATCTCCCGGGGATCGAACCCACACCAGAGAGGTAACTGGATTAGAAGCCATCCACTCTAACCCCTCGACCACGGAGGCTGTTACTTTAAAATGTAAACTTTTCATTTCAGTATTGTGATTGAATGCAAGCCATAGCCATAGAACAACAATCTCATTGCATATCCTTACTATAAGCATATAAACCAAAATATATTTACATGTATAAAATAATCACTGTATCAAAGTTTTCAAAGTAGTACAATCATTACATACCTCTACATATGTTAGATATAATGTTAAACCCTCATCAATTCCATAAATAAGTCTGTCATTCAAAGTAACTCACCTCTATATCAAAAATGTGAAACTAGTAATTTGTAGTAGTTTGAAAATTACAACAAATTAAGTCAATTATTTTGTGATAAATGCAGTATCATTTTGAAATAACAGCTCAGCATCTATCCTACCCCTCAATCTGCTTCATAAACTGATGATTACATCTTGCCATTAACTTACACAACTGCACATAAATTCATTGTATCATTTAGTAAAAGCATCATTTTTTTTTATCATTTAATTATATCTTTACAATAATTTATTGTCTGCACCAAAAATATTACTAAAATAATATCTGAAGTAATAAGAAGCCTAATGTAAATGGTATCCTTTTAAAATATTGTTGGCATCAAAAACTGCATTTTTTTTTTAAGTGTAAGATGTAAAACTAATAAAAGATAAATATAGTCATAAAGCAGATTTTACCTGATCTTATATGGACTGGTTTAGCTATATAACAGTTTTGTCTCTGTTTTTAAAAAAAATAAAGAAACCAAGAAAATGTGAAAAGTTATTTAAGGAAGGAAATTTCCAGTCTAATTTGCCGGAGTATTATTCAATCTGTACAGGTTACAGAACAAAATTTTATAGCCAAGCTTATAGCTGTCCAAAGGAGGACAAATTAAAAGGACAAACAATATCCCAACCCCACCCTCACAATCTATCATTTAGATGACAAAGTTAACTTGTTATTGATTTATAATCTTAAATATCATATATACATCAACTATCCTGTGACCCTGTCTGTGATAAATGTTTTACAATGTCCACCCAGTTCCAGCCCCTTGGCTTTTCACCTGTTGCATTTCCCATTTTTTCATATAAACGTCTTTTTTGGTGTTTAGTAAGCTGTTCTTTCCTTTCTTTCTTTTTTAGATTTTCATCATTCATGTCTGTCTGACTAAGATCTGTTTCACTCTAAAATAAATATACAAAATAAAATTTCTTTTCGGAATACATTTTTCAGACAACTTAATTATTATTTTGTGTTAAACCATTATAAAATTAAACAAATGTCCTCATGTAAACAACATTTGCAAAAGCAAACATGATAATGAAGTTAAAAAGAATGAACTGCTATCATATCTGGTATATCATGTCATTTGTATCCTGCATTCTTTTTGTTATGATGTCTTCCTCACAGTCACGGAATAGTAACCCTTCTAGGGTCACGACTATTTTCCTCGCAAGATTGATTCTTATGATACAAGCACTGGTACAGTAAATTCTTGAAACAGACAACACAAGTACAGGTACTGTAAGTTCTTGAGACAGACAACACAAGTACAGGTACTACAGACAACACAAGTACAGGTACTGTAAGTTCTTGAGACAGACAACACAAGTACAGGTACTACAGACAACACAAGTACAGGTACTGTAAGTTCTTGAGACAGACAACAAAAGTATGGGCACTTTAAGTTCTTGAGACAAACAACACAAGTGTAAGTACTGTAAGTTCTTGAGACAGACAACACAAGAACAGGTACTGTAAGTTCTTGAAACAGACAACACAAATGTAGGTACTGAAATTTCTTGAGACAGACAACATAAGTACAGGTACTGTAAGTTCTTGAGACAGACAACACAAATACCAGTACTGTAAATTTTTGAGACAGACAACACAAGTACAGGTACTGTAGACAAGTGAAGAAAAAGTACCATTAATAGAAGACACAAGTATTTTTAAGTCCTGGTTACAGTACCCAAACATGACGAAAATAAATTTATAAATTTCTTAATCATGTACCTATTTTGTCCTGAAACAACTAGAAATGTGTCCATAGGACACGGGTGCCCCCACCGCGACACTGTTCTGTCAATCTTTTTACTAAGTCAAGGGAAATAACTCTACAAATTCTGGATAAATCCACAAGCCAAACCCCAGGTGCAAATCTAAAATATGCTGAGCAACCTGCCCATAAGGTTTATTGACTATGTCAAATCCTTTTTGAGAAACTTGCGACACAAGTTGAAAATTGCAAAAATTTTCTACGTGAAGGGCAAGAACTCTAAAAATACTAAATAAATCCAGACGAAAATACCTGGTTCACAACTGCACATGCTGATCAATATTCCTGTAAAGTTACATGACTCTAGGTCAAATACTTTTTGAGTTACATGCGACACAAGTTGAAAATTGCAAAATTTTACTAAGTCAAGGGCAATAACTCTGAAAATACTAAAAATATCCAGACGAAAATACCCAGGCGCACAACTACACATGCTGATCAACATTCCTGTAAAGTTTCATGACTGTAGGTCAAATCCTTTTGGAGTTACATGCGACACAAGTTGAAAATTGCCAAATTTTACTAAGTCAAGGGCAATAACTCTGAAAATACTAAAAATATCCAGACCAAAATACCCAGGTGCACAACTACACATGCTGATCAACATTCCTGTAAAGTTTCATGACTCTAGGTCAAATACTTTTTGAGTTACGTGCGACACAAAAGTGAATGGACGGACGGACGGAAGGACGGACGGACAAGGGTAAATCTAAATGCCCGCCACTAACGTGGGGGCACAAAAATAGTAATGAAGAATAAAAATTTACCTTTGTATTAACAATAGGTGCATCTGGCTGATCTGCCATTAAATCATCATAATTCTCCTTCACCCATTCAAATAATGTATATGTCATTGCTGTTTCCAACAAATCTTCAACCTATATTGTATGAAAAATTGAGAGAACATATACAATAGCTTCATTTAAGTACAATTCATTAAATTCATTCAAATATTATATATGGTCACATCAAATAGGTATTACTCTATTTTGATATTATTACATTCAATAGGCTACAAAACAAATGCATCTATGTCATAATACATTTTAAATACTTGAATCTATGTATGCCTAGTATGAAATTCAAGTACTTTTATACTACATGTATAAGGGGAAAGATAACTGTTCTTGAACTGCTTATCATAACTTTGGTAAAATCATTTAATCACATAAAAAGCTAGCAGTTTGCTTAAATTGAATGCTACACAAGCTTGGTTCCTTTAGCCAGAATAGTTTAAGTTGTACATGTACATGTATTTAAGGTAAAATATCCATCAAAACAATATTTTCTTCAATTGCAGAAATTAATTTATTACAGTTCATTTCCTTAGTTTGTTAATTTAAACACTTCACAAAAAATTTACTCTATTCAGAAAATAAAAAGTTTTCAGCAAAATAGGTAAGCATAAAGGGGATCATAAGTGACAGGCTTATCGGGACATTTACTCCAATATTAACTAACATTTTCATTGACAGTTACCCAGTACTATCTCACTATGGTATTCATCGGTGGATAACATTGCACACAATGGTGATGTATAGCTACTACATTACAAACAAACTATTGAGCAATAAAATTTTGTCCAACAGATAGCTTATCTGTGCATCAGTAATTAAAGTGGCCATCAGCTTTTCTAAATGTTAAATAAGTTATTTTTAGTACATCATTTGATATAATTGTCAAATAAAAAGAATTAAGATGGAAAATGAAAACTGCTGTCGATAAAATACATAAACAATAAGGAAACCTCTTGATACCTCTATCTACCATTCCGCTCTCTATATGTAAATAAATAAAGCCGATGATTCATTTCCTGATCTTCTATTTTTAGAAACAAATGTCACGGGCATAAAATATTTACCTGTTCTAAAAGTCCTTGTAATATTTTTTCCTTCACACTAGGTACACTGTAGAAAAGATGGTAAAATATTCATTATTTTTATATGATAGGAGAAAACTCACATTACATAACATTTTAAAAGACTAACAGACAATGTCTTTAATTTGTTTAGATTACACATTGTATTCAATATCTTTTCAATCTAAAACTAAGTGTATTTCTTACAATTCTTCAATGGGAAAATTAAAACTGTAATCAGTCTTCATTATCAAAAGTTATTGAGATCAATAATTCTTACTGGGACTGTTGGAGAAATTTAGAAATATCTATCTATGGACAAAAGAAAGACTTATACTTTCAAATATTTGTTGTACAAGGTATCTATGTTTATGGACAATGGAAAGACTTATACTTACACATGTTTGTTGTAGAATGTATCCATATTTATTGTTGGTGGGGATTCTGGGTAACTTTCTCCCCATGTTATCTCCACAACCAGTGATTTATAGCTATTGTGTTCACCATACTGCAACAGAAATATCACTCACTTACATTACAATCAATTACAAACATTCATGTTTGAATTCATTCCATGCTAATTTTATAATATATCAATGAATGTGTCCATTGATCAATAAGGACAGTAAGATTAAACAAGAGGGCCATGAAGGCCCTGAGGTCGCTCACCTGTATATAGCCCCCCCCCCCACCCATAAGAAGATGTTTCATGCTAAACATCTAAGCTCTAGCTCATTAGGCTTTTTTAAAAGAAGATTTTTTTAAGATTTTACTATACACATATAGTTACAAACAATGACACCCCTGGGGCGGGGCCAGTTTTGACCCCAGGGCTTTTATTTAAACAAACTTTGTAGACACTTACTAGAAGATGTTTCATGCTTAATATCTAAACTCTAGCTATTTGGGTTTTTTCAAAGAAGATTTTAAGTTTTTGCTATAGTATAGGCTATACACATATAAGGAAAATCAATGACCCCCGGGGCGGGGCCAATTTTGACCCCAGGGCTTTTATTTGAACAAACTTTGTAGACACTCACTAGAAGATGTTTCATGCTTAATATCTAAACTCTAGCTATTTGGGTTTTTTCAAAGAAGATTTTTTAAGTTTTTGCTATACACATATAAGGAAAATCAATGACCCCCGGAGCGGGGCCAATTTTGACCCCAGGGCTTTTATTTGAACAAACTTGGTAGAAACCTATTAGAACATGTTTGACGCTAAATATCTTAGCTCTAGCTCTTTGAGTTCTTTAAAAGAAAATTTTTAAAGTTTTTACTATATGCATATAGGGAAAATCAATGACCCCCTGGGGCGGGGCCAATTTTGACCCCAGGGTTTTTATTTGAACAAACTTGGTAGACACCTATAAGAAGATGTTTCATGCTAAACATCTAAGCTCTAGCTCATTGGGCTTTTTAAAAGAAGATTTTTTTAAGTTTTTACTATACACATATAGTTAAAAACAATGACACCCCTGGGGCGGGGCCAGTTTTGACCCCAGGGCTTTTATTTGAACAAACTTTGTAGACACTTACTAAAAGATGTTTCATGCTTAATATCTAAACTCTAGCTATTTGGGTTTTTTCAAAGAAGATTTTAAGTTTTTTCATAAGGAAAATCAATGACCCCCGGGGCGGGGCCAATTTTAACCCCTGGTCTTTTATTTGAACAAACTTTGTAGACACTCACTAGAAGATGTTTCATGCTTAATATCTAAACTCTAGCTATTTGGGTTTTTTCAAAGAAGAATTTTTAAGTTTTTGCTACACACATATAAGGAAAATCAATGACCCCCGGGGCGGGGCCAATTTTGACCCCAGGGCTTTTATTTGAACAAACTTGGTAGAAACCTATTAGAACATGTTTGATGCTAAATATCTTAGCTCTAGCTCTTTGAGTTCTTTAAAAGAAGATTTTTTAAGTTTTTACTATATGCATATAGGGAAAATCAATGACCCCCTGGGGCGGGCCAATTTCGACTCCAGGGCTTTTATTTGAACAAACTTGGTAGACACTCACTAGAAGATGTTTCATGCCAAATATCTAAGCTCTAGCTCTAAGGGTTTTTTAAAAGAAGATATTTAAAGTTTTTTCTTTCGGTTGCCATGGCAACCAGAGTTCTGCATGGAATTGAATTCTTTGAACAATTTATAAAGGTGACCACCAAAGGAACATTCCTGTGAAGTTTGGATGAAATTGGCCTAGTGGTTTATGAGGAGATGTCATTTAAAGTAAAAGTTTACGGACGACCCACGGACGGACGCCGGACGAAAAGCGATCACAAAAGCTCATCCTGTCACTTTGTGAAAGGTGAGCTAAAAACATATCATTTGCACAATTCAACAGAGCACAGGCACTTGGTGTGTGGCTTGGATAGTATACATGTACATGACCACACCTCTTATTTTTATAAAAAAAAATATTTTTTTTTTCACTAATAAAACATTTTTTTCACTCAAAATGTTTTTTAAAATATCTTAATTTCAATAAAACAACAAAGGAAAGTTGTTTTAAAAATTTCATCCATATATACTATTAATATACTATATTAAAAGTATGTACTATAATATTCATAGTATATATGGATGATTTTTTTATAAACAACTTTCCTTTGTTGTTTTATTGAAAATAAGATATTTTAAAAACATTTTAACTGAAAAAAATATTTTATTACTCACATTTCTTTTTTTTATAAAAATAAGTGGGTTTGGTCATGTACATGTATACTATCCAAGCCACACACAACTGCCTGTGCAACAGAGAAGATTAAACTGCTTCTTAAAATGTGAATACAACATACTTTATTAGTATACACTGTACCTTGTACTGGAATGTTGAGTCTCCAGTCTTTTTGAAATTTTCATCACCATCATAAATTGACTGCAAGACTTCAAGTTCTTCCTGTAAAAAAATAATATTCCCTCTTAACAAAAGCATACGCAAGAATTTGTTTGCAACCTTTCAATGTTATCGCATTTTCATCATATTTAAATTGCAGAATGCCAGAATTGACCTTTTCGAAAACCTAGCTAAACACCGTTTTCCGGTACGTTACCGTTTTAGCTCTGGGGAATTACACCAAATGAAGAACATAACACAGTTACGAGATATGTCTTAATTCAGGGTGTCCGTTTGACCCTTGAAATGACACTTTGACCCTTCAAATTTCCAAAATGCCTGATTTGACCCTCATGATTTTAACTGGAGGCTCAAATTTTGTTAAAATCATGGGGATTTTTCCTTGTAATCGGAAAAACTTGGTCAAAATGACCCTCGGGATTTCATGGCTAGTGAACACCCTGTCTATTATGTAACAGTCTATTTTTCTATCATTATTTAACCGTTTTAGGTGAAAAAAAATTGAGTTTTAATATCTATTGCAAATTATTCAAAAAAATAAATCATTTGTAATGAAAATCAATAAAATTCAAACAGACGTAGTGGAATCTTCCATATTCATAATATATAAGGTTATTTTCTGCGTAAACATGTGTATTTACTTTATTTTTTGTATGGAATTATTCATACAATGATATTTAATTATTTTCTTATAAAGAAATTACTGTTTTATTTCAGTTTAATTTTTAAAAAAAGGCCGAAAACATTGAGTTCGCTATTACACTCCATTAGGTGAATTCCCCAGAGCTATGTACAGAAAGTACCAGAAAACGGCGTTTAGCTAGGTTTTCGAATTCGTGAATGATAATGACTGGCTTACATCTCTAGTGCAAAGTTTATAAATGTCATTTTCACACTATCAGCACCAAAAGAAACCCCCATTCATAATTCCAATACTGTCGGGATCATGGGCATTGTTGACAATATGTATGTATTTTTAATAACTTGTTAAAAGTTTGTGTTATATTTGAGACTCCATTTTCCCAAAGTATGCCAACATCTAGCATATTTTTCCCAAGAAAAAGGCTGAGCCCGAGGCCTCTTCCCCAAAAATGGTGTTTGGCCCTGAGTAATGCACTGTTTGAAAATAGATTCACGACAATTTAAAATCCAGTATCAACACCAAAGTAACCCATTTCATTTCTTACATCTTGTTGTTCTTTGTTAGTCATATTTTAAGTTCCCTGTGGAATGCTTTCAAATATCACCATTTACATGTTTATTTTCCCCAGTTCATTTACAGTATCTTGGACGAAATTGTACTGAACGTTAATATTCGAGGTATTCCGTTATACCGTAACATACCGTACAGACACGAATAAATTCCATTTCTTCTCCAACAGACAACTACATTAATTGATTGAGTGGTTAAGTGGTTACTTAGTTAGCTTGTTGGTTTGCTGGTTGGTTGATTGACTGGTTGGTTGGTTGGTTGGTTGTTTGATTGATTGATTGATTGATCACGTTTTGCTATTCTCGTTCTTCGGTTTGTACATGTATATGTGTGTGTTATACAAGCTATTTATATAAAACAAAATCATTTATTATTGCTACCTTTAAGATAAAGTACTATATCAAATCTTAATGAAGTAAAGTCCTACTCTCAGAGGGTACATTGGACATATTTTACTTATCACGAGCGAACCATAAAAGTTATTACATATGTGCACGTTGAAGTAAACACGTGTACAAGTGATAAAAACAAATGCTCCTATGCACCGTCTTCACCTGTCAACATGCAAACACTTTAATCAAACAGGGACACTTTATGACGAGAAAACGACGATAAAGCATAGACTTTTCTGTTCTTGTAGCACGATTTTATTTTTATTTTCTTCTTTTTGTGTGCAAGGAGCTTTATATAAAAGTCTCTGGATTGGTACTTACTTGTTCACGTAGTTCAACCATTAGAAGTTCATGTTGTTATTGTGATAATACGCTAATCATGTTCACTCTGTAGCTTTGATATTTCTCTTGGCATTGTTGACAATTTCTTATGATATTTCTGGGGCTGTATTTTTATACTCACAAACCAATATTGCACTGAAAGTAGAAACCTTTTTAATTGCTATATGCCCAAATAAATTCAGTGCATGTATTGAATTTTGCATAATCCCTGTATTTGTTTTCAATGAATGAATGGGCACTGTGATTGAGTTAATTATCCCTGAAATTGTTTTAAGTTCTATAAAATTAATAAAAATTGACGTCGATTTTGAGAGGGGCAGATCAATCCATGCAGTAATAAATATATAAAGACATTTAATTTAGACTCAAGCAATGCTTATATTTCTATTTCTCACAAGCATGTTATTTTGTTGTCCACTTACTGTTTCCGAAATGTTACTCATTGGCCAATTATCCCAACCATCTGTTGCTTCTGTTGCTTTTTTTGGCACTTTGTTCAGAAGTCGAAATAATGCTTTGTTTACATTTTACTACTTTTATGACTCACACTTATACATTCAGCGCTACTTTCTTCATGTGAAAAGCATCTGGCGTGCTCTAAAACCATTACCGAACCGTTGAAAAACTTCATGTTTGACATTTCTAAAGATGGGAAACACCAGCCTTTGAGATATGTGTTTACATTTATTTTCATTATACACGTAAGTATCATTTGGTTTTCATTCAAAAACTTAACGTATTACAAAACAGGGTAAACTTATTTATTTTCCTTGTCTTTTGTTTTCTTTTATTACTATTTTCACGTACATTTACGTATATAAATATATTTACCTGTCAGAATGGAAATTTTAGAAATCCTTGTTTCTTTTTGGATATGCGGTGCTTGTAAGTCTAAATGAAATTAAACATAACCAAATTGACAATTATAATTATATTAGGGCATTTAAATACTTGTGTTTTATTTTTCTTTGTTGATGAACTTAAAAAAATTATCAAATTATTTTTAATAGTTTCAGATGTAATATTTCAATTCTGTCATATATTGTAACAATTAAATATAGGTACGTAATGATCGAATAAATGTTTAAGTTCTTACAGTCTGCAAAAAAAGATAAAATCATTAAAAAACAAACAAACAATGATCGAAGCAATTTCAGTTTTTATTTAAATTACCTGGAACTATTTCTGCTTCTTTTGCTCTTCAACAATAGTATCTAATGTGAAAGTTAAAATTATACTAATTTGTTTACATTTTGCTACGTTTAAGTCAAACAATTTTACATTCACATGAATACTTTCTGCAGGTGATAAGCATATATCTTATATATGCTTTAATACCAAAAGACAATCATTTAATAACTCATGTTTGCTCATTATAAAGAAATAAAAGAATATCGTATCTAAGGTATAATGTGCCTCTATCTATAATAACCTTTACTCCATACTTATCACGTTAGATTTAAAACAATGGTATATAAGAGTCGTTGAAATGGTGTAACCAGCTACGAAAAAAATGAACTAAAATTAAATCTTTGCCTATGGCCTTACACGATGTAGGTAAGTACATATACTCTGTAGACTATTATTTATTCGTAGTAAGTTAAATCTTATAGTCACCTTTAGAATATGTTAATTTGTAAATTTGTAGAATGGCTATGTTTTATACATGATGTATATGTTTCAAATGTACGGAAGAGCATTAGTGCCAGGTGTATGTTTTTTATTAACTCGAAATTTCGAAGTGCCAGGTGTATGTTTTTTATTAACTCGAAATTTCGAGTTAGTAACTCGAAATTTCGAGTTACTAAGTCGTAATTTCGAATTACTAAGTCGAAATTTCGAGATAAGTAAGTCGAAATTTCGAGTTAGTAACTCGAAATTTCGAGTTAATAAAAAACATACACCTGGCACTAATGCTCTTCCGTACTACAAATGTGATTGACAGGATATGAAAAAAAAATACCTCCACTAGAATCATTGTAAAATGTTTAAAGCAAAGATTACAGAGACGGGCTACAATAAAACCAAATACAAAAAAAATCACATTTTTTGTTAAATTGATCATCAGTCAGTACTTTGTGAAATCTAAATATAAATTATTACATTGTGTCAGGAGCATCAAATTTGAGGGACTTAGCAGACTACAAGAAATGTGGAAACCTACACGAGAAAAGACATGGGAAGTTTAACAAATTAGTTCGTGGTAAATGTAAGTACATTATTTCACAGGCATTCGGCTCATTTGTATGTTCCATAGATAATGCCACTAGGGTTACTCCCGAAAATCATCAACAAAGATCGATAAAAGTCGGAAACTTACGGTGACACAAAGGTGACATATGTGCGTTTTTATTTTTTATCTCGTGCACACGAGATACTTTGTTGTAGCCACGAGTTACTAAGTGGTGGTCACGAGATGATTAAGTGGTGCGCACGAGATACTATTTCGTGGTAACGGGTTACTAAGTCGTGGCCACGAGATAATAAAGACATGTTGAATAATTCAAATATGACCTTGGCCTTTCAATGACATTCAATGTCAAATTATTGAAATCTGCTTAAATTGTCATATTTTATCATTTAATCATAAAAGAACACAAAGGACAAACTGACGTGTTGAATATTTTGAAAACGACCTTGACTTTTAAATGACACTGACAGTTAAGGTCTAATTATTTAAGACAGCTTTAATTGTCACAACCTTGCTTACGGATCTGATTTATTTTTGAACAAAATATTTTTTGATAACTTATTGATAGCAAAAGTTTTTTAATAACGTGCTTTTTATAATTGTTAACATACATATATATTTCACTGTATAATTTTCAAGAAAATTTGTGAAATGTTATTTGTTCATATTTTTTGGCCTCGAGTATCGTTTTTCGTATCACATCAGCAAGAAATATAACTAATAATACACCACCTGTAATTGGCCACTTGAATGAGTCAAGTAATAGAAAGAGCACCGAAACACGAGGCTATCTGATTTGTACGAGGGGGCGTAGCCCCCGAGTATAAATCAGATTGCCGAGTGTTTTGGTGTTCTTTCTCTTTTGTATCATAGTCAAACATAAAAGCACGTTCCCTGTTGTCACAATATGAAACCCCGGCAAAAATGAACCAATGAACGAACATCTGAATATGACATTTCTGTCGCTTTCCCTTTCTCTGCCGTCACAATATGTAAACCCCAGCAAAAATGAGCCAATCAATGGGCATGCTCTGGAGTGCGGGTAACTAATACCCGCACTCCAGTTAACGCACTGTGCATGTATATGTATACGATTTAACCCTGACACATTTTCAACAGAAAGGTCTCCGAACTATGATACAAGTACTTATGGCAAAAAAGTAATAAATTTTAACATAAATACACGTATAGATTGGTGGAGCATCCGTGTAAAGCCATTGTCTTTTTACGCAACTTACTAGATTTTCATCAGCATTTCATTGTTAAAAATATAAGTTTTCATTTGTTTATTGTTGGTTAAAATGTTTGCGGTTTAAATTCTTTTCTTTTTTTTCTTCCTTTGTTTGTTTGATCATTACTTACGAATAGAAGTAACTTTATACTATAGAAATACCACCCTGTTCATTACGTGTACAATAATTAAAAAGTGTTTGTCGAAAGATGTTTTGACATTGATTAAGACATATCTTTCATTTTGTTCAAATGTATGTTTTAGGGTGTCCGTGTTTTTTAATCGTATCTAGAATAAGTAAGACATCTCCTTCTTGGGCATTGTTCTGTTACCATGATCAATTTTCAACACGAGCACATCACGTTTTTATTTTGAGAGAATGTGAAAGGTAATACATACTTTTAGACGAAACGTTTCTTTATTGATGAATGCTTGTTTAATTATAAATAGAATGAAAAAAAGTGTTGTCATGTATAGTACAATATAAAGTTTAATTCACGCGGTTTCTTTAACAAGTATTTTATACTGACACTAAATATCTTGAATCTGCCAGTATCATTTATTAACTAAAGACATAGATCTATCTAAATATCTACCTCCAAATAAAAATTAACACACTTTCAATTATCATATTATAGAAATTATACCTGTAGTGACGAAATTATAACACTTTCCCGCGTACATTTTACATAGACATATTTTATTAGCGCGTTTAAATGATTTAAGAAACAGTATAATTATCCAAAACAGTGATTTATCACTGTTTTGGAGTTCGGATGAGAGGAATTATATCACGAGGGCGTAGCTCGAGTGATATAATGATGTGCATCCGAACGACATGTCTAAATATAGAACGTCAAACTAAATAATGTTACCATCTTAGAACTGCACTATATTTGTTATTTTAACTTTTGTACTTTGATCCTTGTTATTTATTCAGTGTCGATGATTATAAGAGTGAAGATGAACCAATCATAGGATTTTGTGTCACATTCATAGACAAACAACGTAAGATGCTGATTTTTGCCTGTCCATCAAAAGAGTCAAAGGAGGTACATGTTATTATTATTGTTATCACCACTGTTATCATAGCTGTTATCATCACTCGTTTTCATAACTGTAATCATAGCTATTATCACCACTGTGTGTTATCATAACTGTTATCATAGCTGTTATCATCACTCGTTATCATAACTGTTATCATAGCTGTTATCATAAATGTTATCATAAATGTAATCATCACTGTTATCATCGCTGTTATCACAACTGTTATCATCACTGTGTGTTATCATAACTGTTATCATCATTGCTATCGTCACTGTGTTCTCATAACTGTTGTCATAACTGTTATCATAACTGTAATCATCACAGTTATAAATAATTACTGTTATCATCACTTAGCTTATACATTTGAACACTATAAAAACCTTGCAATCACAATGTTAAAAACAATGATATTTTAAGATGATGAAAGGTTAATTAAATTCATCTTAAACCCCATGTACTCTAAATTAATACTTTTTAAAGATTTTGATATCCCTCAATCAAATTGTTGTATTTTTCATTTGAGATTTGGATGCAGGCTTTGCGGTCAGGGATCACAGAAAGTCAAAGTTGCTCAGCGTAAGTAACCTGTTTCTTTTGTTTATTCAGTAATTTTTTGTCAAAGTGTATGTAGAACTCCTACTTCAGACAACCCTGCAATTACGACTAACCCGCAATTAATACCGATTTTTAAATTGATGGGAATTTCAGTAATTTCAATTCTTTATTTCATTACATTGTATTTATTAAACTCTGCTAATATTTTTATGAAACGGCCTCTGTTAATCTAATAAAGACATCGTTGTTGCTACACATAAACAAAATCATGATGCTTGTAAGTTGTTTGGCATTTATTTGCAATTATAAATATAACAATATTTTGTAACAGAGTTACCAACGCCCCCGCCTCAGGGAAGTTTTATATGAAGCATAATATTGTGCTATTTCAAAAGATTGAGGTATGGATCTCAGAACATTCAGTCAAAAATTATGATCAATTATATACTGATGCTAGATTTGCAAATACAACAATAAATTTATCAAAGAAATAAAATGAAACACGGAATTTAAAAATCTTGACCTTGGAGGTAGGGGTGCAGGTGTTGTACTTGACAAATCGTCTTATTATTGTGACTATTTGTGCCAAGTTATTTCAAAATCCCTTGAACTATGAAGAAGTTCTAGATCGGACACAAAATATACCCTATAACAGACTAAGCTAATTTTTTACCTCTAAGTGTGACATTGACCTTGGAGGTAGGGATGCAGGTGTTGCGCATGCCACATTGTCTTATTATAGTGACTATTTGTGCCATTTATGTTCAAAATTCTTTGATCTATGAAAAAAGTTATGGACAGGACACAAAATATACCCTACAACAGACTATGTAAATCTTTGACCTCCAAGTGTAACCTTGACCTTGGAGGTAGGTGACCGGTTGTTGCACATGACACATCGTCCCATTATTGTGAACAATTGTGGCAAGTATTTACAAAATCCCTTTAAAATTAAGAAAGTTATGGACCGGACACGACATATACCCTCAAATAGACAATGTTGACAATGAATGGGCAAATGAGACCATAACCCTGGAGGTAGGGGTCTGGTTGGTGAGCATGACACATCGTCTTATTATAACACACATTTGTGCCAAGTTATTTCAAATTCCTTTGATAAATGACAAAGTTATGGACCGGACACGAATGTGTGACGGACGGACGGACGTAGCCTATTCCTATATCCCCATTTTTTCTTCTAAAAAAGGCGGGGGACAATAACAAAATTGTGCCCACTCCATAATAATAATAATAATAATAATAATAATAATAATAATAATAATAATAATAAAATAATAAAAGTAAGACTAAAGAAAAATGGATCACTGTCATAGATTATTATACTAGTAATTAAGCCACCTCAAGTCCATTTTGACTAAGTCCCTTTGATGGTCCTAATAGCGAGAATTTACTTAGATTAGATTAACAGAACTTGAACTCTACATAGCTAAATAACGATTTCAAAGAATAACTTGTTTTCTAGTAGTATTTTTTTATTTAGATACCAACTTTGTTCAGTCTCAGGCACGTTTGAAAGTTATAATATGTCAAATTATAATGAAGTTAATTTATCATTTCAGGGACAGTGGCATTTCAAGTGGAGGATGTATGCATGATATTAATGTTTTATAAACTAATTATAATAAATATCCATGTAACATAAATTTATGTATTCAATTATCATATTATTCATATTATTTTTATTTCCATCTCATTCAATGGAGCTCAGTTTTCGGAATCTTAATTTAAAAGAAAACACCATTGCGCTTTTAGAGTTCGTTATTTGTCAATTAAGCACGGCAATGTTTCGTGTTTGAAAATTAAGTTACAATTGTATATATATTTTGATGATTTAGCTTTGATGATGGACCCTGTTTCAAATACATACGTTACCGAATCAACAATCAGACAGAGCAGATATGGCTTATACGAAGACATGGATCAATTACCAGTTGGTACAGGTAAAACAACAAAAATATAAACGCTATGTATGATAAAAAAATTGTTAACTATGCTTGAAAGTCACATGTGTATAATAGAGAAAAATTCAATGTCTTAAGAACGCCCCAAACGGCAAAAAATGAAAAGGTGGCAGGCTTGGTTTGATTGAGTCTGTTAATTATACTCGTATGTTAATGGGGCAGTACTGGGAAGTGAAGAGCCACAATCTATGCCCCTTAATTAGCGCCGGCTTAAGCAGAATTTCAACATAAAATAGTGAAATTTTGAATTAAGAAACATCGACAGAAGTGTTCATACGGCGATTATCACAGAACCTTCAATGTGACACGTTCGTGCCATTCCGTAAAAAGCGGCGTATGGTCACCAAGTAAAAGAATGCGTGTGTCCTAAACGAGAAAACAAAAGATGGAACTAAATAAAATTGAATTTTGAAAGGGGATCAGAGGTTATGTGTTGGTAATTTAAATCTTGATAAAAACAGTCTGGTTAATCTAGTTATATAACATAGATGTATAAATATTGCCTATTCATATGACAGAATTTTCCTCATTTATTCAATGTTTGTAGAATACTTGACGTGTATAAATCTAGGTTTACATAGTGTTTCAATGGAATTAGAAATATGGGTGGTGGTGCTTCGTACTATTAATAGTGTCCTGGTGACCCTATATCACACACCAGCTAGAGGTTTTAAGATTTGCAAAGTACATTGTAAATAGTGAACAAAACCAATAACTTTGGCATTCATTCACCTATAGGAATTATTTCAAGTCTAAGTCTGACCAAGAAATTGAGCCAATGTGATTTTCATTGATGCCACTAGCTCAAAGGAGTACTTATGCTACCTTTCATAGTAATGTTATGAAATGGACCAAAGAAATATTGTAAAATAAAATGAAAATGTTAAATAGTTTATATACTCATGTTTAAGTAGATCAAGAGAAGCCAAGTAAACACGGTGCTGAATATAAACCTGAAGCTGACGCAAATTCCCCTAATACACAACGATATCAAAGACAGGAAGCAGTTGAAATGGCGTCGATAGGTATGTTTTTTGTTGTTGTTGTACCTGATATACCATTTTCAATAAAAAGGACCTGAGATCGTTATTTATTTACCTATGTAGTGTCCTCGGGTTTGGACCTTATGTCACACGTTTTCGAGGGCACATGTGCATTTACCTGGCAGCGAAACGGTTATAACATTTTAAAAATCATTGCCCACAATTGTAAGAAAATGGAACAGTGTCGTAATGATAAGGGTGTCTGCCTCTCAACCCATCGTTCGTGGGTTCGAGTCTAAGTCAACTCATGAACACTTTTTATTTCATATGAATTGCTTGTTCACTTAGTTCCATTAAGTCGAAAGTGGTAAATTAAAGCTGTATCAATTTGTTTCGCGGTTAAGCATTTAAAAATGAATATACATGTATGTTTAAAATAACTGTAAAACCATATACATCGTTCTCTTGTATGTTTTACACAATTCTGGATCCTAGAACCATCACCTTCTGTTGAATTTCTAGGTGGAAAGAAAGACAAGAGTCATAAACATACAGGCAGGGAACAAAAAGTTCATTCTGAATCACACTACTACGATTATAATTCACAAGATGAACATAGAATGGAAAAACAAAAAATGACACAAGGTGTGTATATATATCTTAATAACAATTAAATAATTGTCTAATTAATCTGAAAGCGCCTTCTGCGTAGGGCAAAAACAAATTATATGTAATACAAGAAAAATCAGTTTCATATTAAACAATTTTAAGTATTCTGATCTAATTCTCGGGAAATGTGAAGCAATGATGAGAAGAAATAACTAATTTGAAAAATCCTGAAAATGTTCAATTTATGGCATTTCATCCGGCTCTGACGTAAGAATATACCGTATGTATGTTTGAATAATTTGTATTATGTTTGATTGAAGAAGAGCAAAATTCAACCGATAGATTTGACTTCTTGTCAGTAACCGCACCATTGCCTAGCACGGAAAATACCCAAAGCGGTGGAACACAAGAAACATCTCATATTGGAGGTGATGATAACACCTGTGTAAAAACTATGGCCGTACCTGACGAATTCGACTCGAACGAAAATTATGAGAACTTGGTAGGTTATAATAATGTTCTTTTCTATAAAATTATTTGTAAATAAATGTTGAATAAAGCATACTTAATTTTTCTTATATACATGTTTTATTCACACAGTAATACATGTGTTATTTTTTAAATGAGCCGCGCCACGACAAAACCAACAATGGGTTTGCGACCAGCATGGATCCAGACCAGCCTGCGCATCCGCGCAGTCTGATCAGGATCCATGCTGTTCGCTTACAAACTCTATAACAAGTATAGAGAAACTGATAGCGAACGGCATGAATCCTGATCAGACTGCGCGAATGCGCAGGCTGGTCTGGATCCATGCTGGTCGCAAAGCCACTATGTTGGTTTTGTCGTGACGCGGCTCATTTATTTTCACCTATTGCTGCGTTAAATAAATTTATGAATTAAGAATTTACTTAGATTACGAAAATAATGCTAAAAATAAAACACTTCAGACCATGCAATTTATATGTTTGTAACTATTTATACGCTATATGTCTAATTATGTAGGTATTTTAACAGAGATCAAAAGAAATAGCACAGCTGACAAGATTGCTGGGGGAATGAAGCCGAAAATGTATGGATGCCAAACAGTTCACTTAGAACTTAAATTCCCGTGGTTATAATATTTTCTCATGGCTATTCGTCTCTTATAATAAGCTATTTATTATAATTACAAATACACAAAAAAGTCATTGACAAGCATAAAGCTCTTTAAAGAAACAGTTGATGTTTCAAGGGAATCATTGCAGACAAATGTTGTGAAAATAAATGACAGCCTATAAGAGCGAATTTATTTTTTTCAATTAATTAAGCTACAGAAAACAAAACATTGTAAATGTGCAGGATTGACTACATTATAAAAATATAAATTCAAATTTGTCAATAATCTGTAGCAAAGTTCTAAAATGCAGGTGACTAGTTATCTACAAAGATAAAAAAACATAAAGCATATCATGTAATATAGTTTATACTTTTCTTATAAATGTTACCTTCCACTTCCATATTTACTAGTATAAGTAAATGTATTATACAAATTGAAATATAAATACGTGTATTTCTTATAAAATGTTTATGTAATAAACATAAATGTAAATTATGTTCATATTGATGCGCATGTGCTTGTAAATATTTATTTTTCACTGTTATGAATTAAGAAAGAAATACTATCTATCTATATAAGCAAATGAAATTGCAACATTTGCAACACAAACTTAAGAAGACTGTCATGAGATAGGCTTTTTCTGTTTTGCCATTGTGAATGTTTATCATAATACACATGTATTACTAAAATAAAATTAACTAAATTGGTACTTTTAATCTTTTAATTATGCTTTTCTCATATGCACATAGTGTAAATACAATGTATTTGATTATGCAATTATTTATATATATATATATATATATATATATATAGAAATGAGAGAATATATACACACATACCACCACATCGATATGCCAGTCCAATTACGGCACAGCGCCTAGCAGAACAGTCATGAAAGCATAGCCACTGCTCATCCACCATCACAAAAATGATGGTTTCAGAACAGCTTTATATACAGTCACAAACTGCACTACACATTGAAACAAGCTCAACATTCACATATATAGAGTTTGTTCTCTGTTATCATATCTCACAAAATCAACGATGACATTTTTATTGTCTTCTTCACTGATTGGGACCAGAGAACTATATATCTATTTCCGAAAGTCAACTGGATCACGTAAGATCAAGTAGATCCGTAGGATACAATGAATTTAGACAAATAAAGTATATATAAAGGGAGATAATTAAATTCAATACAGTTATACTTTCCCCTGCGTGGGATCACTTAAGATACAAGTGTGCAGATAAATTGATAGAAATGAGAGAATATATACACACATACCACCACATCGATATGCCAGTCCAATTACGGCACAGCGCCTAGCAGAACAGTCATGAAAGCATAGCCACTGCTCATCCACCATCTATCAATTTATCTGCACACTTGTATCTTAAGTGATCCCACGCAGGGGAAAGTATAACTGTATTGAATTTAATTATCTCCCTTTATATATATATATATATATATAATATATATATATATATATATATATATATATATATATATATATATATATATATATATGTGTGTGTGTGTGTGTGTGTGTGTGTGTGTGTGTGTGTGTGTGTGTGTGTGTGTGCGCGCGCGCGTGTGTGTACTTAAATTGTGTATTTGGAAATGTGAAAATGTGTTAATAATAATGTATATATTCAAATCAATTCTTAAAATTCCTTATAAATAAGTACGAAATAAGAGTTATCTTACAATGACAAAAGAAGATATAAGAATAAAGATCAATCAATCTTTACCCCGTGTTAAATTTCAAAGGTAGCTGCTGATGTTGCTGGTATGTCGCCACTATTTTCAAAAGTGCTTATGACTGGTACACTATTAAAATATTGAGTGTGACATGAAGTGCAACTTATTCTTAGTTGAAAAAGGGAACTTATAAACAGAACAAACATACATTAATTTAAGACTCATACATAGTATATTGTCTACAAACACTAAATGTACAGCAAACATACAATTTGTAAGTGACAAATATTTACAATCAACACAAGTGCATTATTAGTATCTCAAAATATATGTGTTGAGAATGACAACAAAACGTTCGATGCTTTAAGTGCTTTTCCTGATAAGTATTCAATATACAAAGCGAAGTTACCATTAAAAGAACACAGAGTGCCTAAATAATAAAAACTATCTACAACTTCTACATCTATACAATTATAAGTCCATTTTCCTTCTCGTTTTAACTCCACTTTCTAAAAACCATGATTTTTGTTGTAGTGCATTGACTTCAATTCCGCATTGACAACAGTATGTATGCAAAAGATCAAGATTGTGTTGTAATTCATCTGGTGTCTTTCCAAAAATTGCCATGTCATCAACAAAAAGCAATAAAATAATAACCATAACATCTATGAGTAGTCCACTACTTAAATTGTATTGTAAGAAAAAATCTATATTTTCTAAAAAAAAAAAGAAACCAAAACTGGTGAAATTATCTACCCTTGTTTTAGACCTATGCATATTCAAAAAAGTCAGAAAAAGAATAACAATGTTTAACACAGGACTCGACCACGTCATACATGTTTTGTAATAAGTCTTAGAACTTTCCCTTGTACACCTATCTATAAAGTTTAAACCATAATGCATTCCTGTAAATGGTATTAAAACATTTTTTAAATCTATGAAACCTACATATAAAGTCTTATTATGGTTAATATAGTGCTCAACTAAAGTACTTATAGCAAAAATAACATCTATTGTTGAATAAAGTTGCTAGATATATGATGAAGAAGAGTAACCCCGAAACTCTGTCTCAAAACTTGAGGAAATAAGAAACAGATTTCCACCAATTTAGTTACACAAATCAAATCGTAAACACCCTTGTATCAATTTAAAGTTACAGCTAGGATTCTAGGACTGTCATTTATAAATTAATGCCGATCATTATCTTTTGTATCCACATTGATGTCTATTATAATAATTAAATGAGCCGCGTCACGACAAAATCAACATAGTGGGTTTGCGGATCCAGGATCCATGCTGTCCACTTACAGACCCTATAACAAGTAGAGAAAGTGATAGCGAAAAGCATGGATCCTGATCAGACTGCGCGGATGCGCAGGCTGGTCTGGATCTATGCTGGTTGCAAACCATAAACCATTATGTTGGTTTTGTCGTAATGCGGCTCAAATACTTGTAATTTACTGTTCTATCCGACTACTGACATCTGGATGTATGGAAAAACAGGGATAGTTGACTTAATTAAACATTAAACATTATAAAAAGTGCAGGCATGTTACAACTGTATACTTAGTTTTGAGTTTTCGCTTTCAATGAATCGATCTCTTTGCAAATGATACATACTTTCGTGCTTGTGGTTTAATTTGAATAACATGTCTTTTAGCGTTGATTTATTTTAGTAAAAATATATTAGCTGCAAAATACTATAATATAAACAGCAACAAACAATAAATATGAACAGAATAACAGCCAAAATTGTGTGAACTGAAACAATCATTACATACATGCATACACAACACTATACATTCATGAAATAGAATCATATAAATAATTAACAAGCAAATAAGGTTGTCATTAAAGTTTTGTTACGTAGCTTTTTACAGAGTAGTATTTAATAGAATTATGTGTTCTTGTGAATTTTAAAACATATTCATGGCATCAATCTAAATAATCTTTACATAATATCCATGCAAATGCAAAGTCCTATTAGCGTAAAGTACAAACGCCGAAAACTGTCTTTGTTCACCATGACTTCCAGTGAAATTCAAAGCGGAACATTAAATAAAAGCATTATTTTCATTGACCAGAAATCTTTTTCTAATTTGAGTAAAAGTTACCTTGACATTGACCCTAGGGACAAACGTAGTTTCTACAAACTCAAACCATTTTTCGATGTTTGGTAATAGCGACCTTAACCTTAACCCTAGGGATCCAAAAGCAATCCAAGCTCCAAGGACTTCACATAAGTTTGCTATATACCAGGTTTGATTACAATAGCTCAGGTATAACACAAGTTATGATCCGAAAACCATGAAGTTGACAAACTCGATCACTCCTATATACCCCCCCCCCCCTCTTAATCTTGTGCAGGTATAATTAAGTGCGAATAATTGCAAAGGGCAATAACTCCATGGTCATACAAAGAGAGTTATGGTTTCCGAGCAATATATTCTATGTCATATGAGATGTAACCATTTGCGAATTTTTAAACTGATGCCTCCAATACTTTTGGTAGTTATACCCCGGAAAAACTTAAGAATGTAAAAAAACGAAATTTAATACATGTAGCAAAGGGAGTTATGGTTTTATAGGCACTGCACTTTTCTTTTCCTTAATGAAATCTTTTTATAGTTGATATCTACAACAAAGAGTTTTCGAGTTAAAACACGCAAAAAAACAAAACCCAACGGTCAGACGGCTAAACGGATAAGCTTGTTCAAGTATGACCCTGATCTCCATTATAGTCCAATTTCTTTGCCACAAAGTTACTATATAGTCTGATAGCTATAAATATGTACAAATGTGATTATGTAATACATTTTCAAGTGACTGCATGCCAACAGCTTCAAACACGAATATGATTTAAAATTCAATTTATTGTTAAATGCTTTTGCTTCAATGGATCCAAAATAGTCTACAAAAACACAAGATCCATTCAACATTTCCATTGTCACTCCTCTATTTTATGATCTGTCTAAAATTATCTTTATCAAGCTTCTTTGTGAAGTTCTTGTCAATATCCGCCATGGTGACACCTTTCACTTCTAGTTCTCACGTACTCTTCGAGGGTAAGTACCATCTGGGTAACCGAACCTTAAGTAAAAAGTATTACATGTACTTACATGGCGAGACATCAGAAGTTTAACTTTGTTACATGGCGAAATCTTGATAGTGAAAAAGATTAAAAAATTGTACATATTATTGAAATGGGTAACGATCTATCAAAGCCGAAATTTATCTAATTTATTAACAACAAGTTGTTAAGCATTACATACATAAATATATAAGAATCAAAGAAAGTGTTTGAATGTACAAAATATAGGTATACATGATCTTTTTTATATTTTTTTCTGTTTGTTAAAAACAAACTTACACCAACTGTAGAGGAATCAGATTTCGTTTTCACGTCATCTTTTATGTCTCCTGTTTCGTTCTCGTAAGAATGACTCTCATGCACCATACCTACAGAAACATGTCCAGTTCGTGGTTCAACTTCACTTTTATGAGACTGTTTTATTTTGGTTATATGTGTTTTGAAAACATCTATAACTGAGCTCGCTATATCTTTATCGTTTAGAAATAAATGGACATGGAGATTTTTACTATCGTTGAAAAACTTAATCAACTCAGAGAGCAACAACCTTGCGCTGTCTATTGCGTCCATATCGTCACAACCTAAATAGAAAATGAAGAATATCTTTCAAACTTATCTATATTTCGACAGACCATATTACTACTTTCCATTTTTCAAATCCAGTCAGAAAGGAAAAACTCAATTTTGCAATTGAAGGAAAACATCAAAAATGAACATCATCAAAAGTTTACTTTTAGCTTTTCAGAACATTATTGTAATTAACAAGTACTCATTGGAGGAAAGTCAAGAATACATTAAACTAAGTAATCTCGTACATTTTGTATAGTAAAGGCTTACATCGAAGATCAAGTATTATATACCTGTTCCCAATATTGGTAACGCCAATGAAGAGATATTTTTCCTCTTTGTTTCTAGTAAAACATTCCTGTAAACGATCGAAACAAAATTTGGTTGGCATTTTCTGGTAATAATGGCGTGCATTACCCACTGAAATCCACATTTTCCGCCTTGTGTCGTAATTATATCGCCATAGTTGATTTTTAACTTGGAAAACTTTTTTATCTTTGCATAACTGTAAAGATCTCCCCCTACTTTTAACAATGCTTGAGCAATCATACCTTTTGCTTCCCCTTGTTTATTTTCGCTACAAACTATTGCTTCAACATCAGATATACTCAATATGTCTGCATCATATACTTCAACCACATTTCCAGGTGGAAAGAAGCATTTTAATTTTTTACTATCTTGAATGTATGAGGCTTGTTCGTCATATTCAGCGAACGTTTTCTTTGGCAAGTTCTGCTGGGACGAAATATATTTCGACGTTTTCCAAACTGTATTTCTTGTTGCCGATTTCTTATCATTGTCTGTTACTGATGCACCACCACTTTTGTCCACAGAAGATCTTTCAATATATAAATTCATGTTATAAGGCGAATGCTTTCCATCATGAATTACGTCCTGAAAAGTCTTTTGAATTATCTCAACCATGTTTCGATTCTGGTCAATAAAATGAATTTCCTTTACGTTTTTGCTTCTTCTTTCCCTTGTGAACATCTTTACAGCCTCTGCATACTGAACAGCACAAACCTCTTGAGGAACATCAAACTTTCCTAAGAAAAAAGGGTATAACAGATAAGTTTTACTATTTTAATCACTTGATTAAAAAACCTCAATACAATTGAAAATTAATTTGAAATATCAGTATATGATAAAAAAAATAATAATAGCATGTAAGTACCTGAATTTAAAGATGGAAATGCAATACTAGTGCAATTCTCATTTTCGGCTAGTTGTAAGCAATTGAGCGTTGTCTTCCTTAGATCATCAGCACATTTTGTGAAGTTCGATCTTGTCATAGGTTTATAGTTGATCCACCTTGGGAAAACAGCTTGTATGACGCAAGCACCAGTTTGTTCTGCGGAAGTAAAGATTACAATTTTTAGAAAATAGCGTATCAGCACCGCAGTTTACTACTCAAATCCCGGGTACTAGTGGTATGATTGCACTTCTTAATTGCTAGGTATAATTTTCAAAGTAACATAAATAAATAAAAAGCTAGCTAGTTACTTAGCATCACCTTAGTTCTTTCTTAAATATATTTCAACGTAAACAGTTCTATTTTCTTTCACAGAAATTAATTTGAATATCAAATTCGTACTATTTAACTATTGATAATTGTTTATTAATAAAATATATTAAGAAAAGTAGAAGTCATGGAATTTGCAAAATTTATTTGTTTGAATATAAGATAATAATAATAATAATAATAATAATAATAATAATAATAATAATTAAACTTGTTAATCACCCGTTTTTCGATTCAAAAAGCATGCCTCTTTCACCACTTGTACGTCAGTGGCTGAGATATTATCAACGTCATGTTGTTGATTCCCTTCTATTGCAATTACCGTACAATCAACTGGAGCATTTAATATATCACCCATGTATACTCGCAACATGCATTGATCTGCCTCGAAGACTTTCAAATATTTAGTATCCGTGGTCCATGAGAATGTTCTATCATACATTCTTTGATTCCGGTGACAGTCTTTTGATGATCTGCGTCCGTTTTCCTCCTTATTTTCTTCCGACGGCGTTTTCAATGCAGAAGAATGTGTATTGTCTTTGCTAAAATTCTTCTCTGTGGGTGCGAGGCCACTACATGCAAGTTTATGTTCATCTTTTTGCTTTTGTCTTTGATTCCTGCGACAGTCTTTTGACGATCTGCGCCCGTCTACCTCATTATTTTCTTCAGACGTTTTTTTCAATGCAGAAGAATGGGCATTGTCTTTGCTAAAATTCTTGTCTGTGGGTGCAAGGCCACTACAAGCAAGCTTATTTTCATCTTTTTGCTTTTGTCTTTGCTTCCTGAGACAGTCTTTTGATGACCTGCGCCCGTCTACCTCATTATTTTCTTCAGACGGGTTTTCCAATGCAGAACAATGGGCATTGCCCTTGCTAAAATTCTTTTCTGTGGGTGCGAGGCCTCTACATGCAAGTTTATTTTCATCTCTTTGCTTATGACTTACATAACTTGCATTGGAAATATCCGACTGATTTGTGACAGACAATTTCAGCAATTCCTGAACTTTTGCATCCAAACGTTCTTTTAACATGTTAATACTTTTTTCTGTGCCAACCATTTCTATTCTAACTTGACTGCAGCTTCTCCCTAATTTTGATAATAAACAGGGTTTGATAAGAAATTAATAAAGGTTGGCAACAGCTTAATATACTTTGACAATGCGTTATTGTATATTATTGGATGTTTCTTAAATATTTCATTTTATTGGAATTAAACCAACATAAATAAAGAGTGCAACAAATAATGATCATTAAACATTTCATGTATATCATATGGATCGAAACAAACCCAATTACAGGAATAATTAGGAAATTGAAAAAAAATACGTTAACGTACGTATTATCTACTTTTACCAAATTTCAATATTCTCAAAAAATGTATAAATGAATTTTGAAACTTTAACATATGTGGGTTTACGTTGGTGGTCACAGAATATTCCCGTTTAGAATTAGATCATACAAGTATAAATGAATAAAGCTTACCTGACATTTCGATTTTCTTGAAATACTGAAATATTTAAACACAGGCTTTAATATGAATAAAGTGTCATAGATACACAATAGAAATGTGATTTATTTTTGATGTAATCGCCATCAACTGGCTAAGGAGCTTTGAGCTTTTATTTCGGAAGCAAAATGATAAGCATCTGCATATAATGTACTTATTTACGATCCTAGACGAAACATAGCTTGTACACTTTTCTCAATGGTAAACATGCATGTATTTACACAGTCGTACCTCGTGTTCCTTGATGGGTCATAAATTAAAGGCCATAACACAATGTCGAGGTTAAGAATGAATGTATTCACATTCATCCCATATTATTGTTTCAAAAAAAAATTTGATTGATTAATTTATATTTATGATAAAGGAACACAAAGAAGAAAGGCTCGAAACAGGGATCTGGTAATTCACGGCTGCCTGTCTATATTTGTTTCATGACAATATTTTTAAGAAAAAAGAAAGATCTTATTCAAATTATGCACAACTAGTATACTGACTATAGTCAAGGACATCATGTCTGCCGATAAGGAGAGAAGGAAAGCATGCATGCATGCCGAATGATTTTTAGACAACTGGACAAGCAGATCTGAGTTTGCTGCTAAATTAACTCTGTTATAATTCGCGAGAAATATCATCTAAAATTTCTGACAAGATATTGTGTATAAATGCTCACTTTGCAACAAAACAAAAGATAATACAAACGAATGAAAACGTAAATTGTATAGCAGTATCATGAAATAAAGAATTTAGTTTTATCATAGAAAATAATATTGTCATTAAAATCAAAATTTCTTACTGAATCTTAAGTTACCAACCTGAAAGAGTTCTATATCCTTGTGGTAAATAACGAACTTGATTATTTTCAGTGTTGTTTGTGGGCGGTCAAGTTTAAATCTCTCTACACATCCGAACATTTCTGAAGCAACGAGTTCCGCTGGATAACCTAATGAGCCCGTTCCCATTGCCGGAAAGGCGATTGATGTACGTCCGTTGTCTGAAGCTAATTGCAAACAGTGGGTCATGTGTATTCTTATGTTCTGTAGAAATAATTACAAATATTTCAATTGAAATAAAGATATTTTTCCTAATCAATAACGTGAAATGTTTGCTTAAACATTTTGATTTACATGATATCCCGGGTATTATACAGTTTAATTGCACGGTTGTAAATATATAATGTAAAAAAATACGATTTCTTTCTCGTATATTATTTATTCTCCTATGCTAACACATAGTTGGTAAAATTTACGTCTGAGTTTTTTAAAACAATAATTTATTCACATGTGAATAACTGAAGGGCATAACACAACGTCAATAAACAATGGCGTTTATTTGGTGTCCTTGCGATTAAAGAAAACAAGAGGGCCATGATGGCCCTGAGGTCGCTCACCTGTATAAAGGCACCCAGAGCGGGGCCAGTTTAAACACCAGGGCTTTTATTTGAACAAACTTAGAGGACACCCATTAGAAGATGTTTCACAATGTTAAGTTTTTACTATACACATATAATGAAAAACAATGATCTACTCCCCCCCCCCCCCCCCCCGTCAGGGCCAATTTTAATCCAGGGTCTTTTATTGGGACAAACTTGGTAGACACCAATAAGAAGGTGTTTCATGCTAAACATCTAAGCTCTTTTTTAAAAGAAGATTTTTTAAAGTTTTTACTACACACATATAGTTAAAAACAATGACACCCCTGGGGCGGGCCAGTTTTGACCCAAGGGCTTTTATTTGAACAAACTTTGTAGACACTCACTAGAAGATGTTTCATGCTTAATATCTAAACTCCAGCTACTTGGGTTTTTTCAAAGAAGATTTTAAGTTTTGCTATACACATATAAGGAAAATCAATGACACCCGGGGCGGGGCCAGTTTTGACCCCAGGGCTATTATTTGAACAAACTTTGTAGACACTCACTAGAAGATGTTTCATGCTTAATATCTAAACTCCAGCTATTTGGGTTTTTTTTTTTCAAAAAAGATTTTTTAAGTTTTTGCTAAACACATAATAAGGAAAATCAATGACCCCCGGGGCGGGGCCAATTTTGACCCCAGGGCTTTTATTTGAACAAACTTGGTAGACACCCATTAGAACATGTTTCATGCTAAATATCTTAGCTCTAGCTCTTTGAGTTCATTAAAAGAAGATTTTTTAAGTTTTTACTATATGCATATAGGGAATATCAATGACCCCCTAGGGCGGGGCCAATTTTGACCCCAGGGCTTTTATTTGAACAAACTTGGTAGACACTTATTAGAAGATGTTTCATGCTAAATATCTTAGCTCTAGCTCATGATCATTGGTGTAATATTTCTTGTGTAATTTATGTACGTATATTTATTATGGATACGGAGTTCAGTAATTCACAAATGTGAATAGATTGAAGTAAGAACACAGGTGTGAGCTTATCAAGTTTAATCTCAGAACTGGCTAGTGGCGGGAATCGCCTGTCTATACATAAGAACTGCCCATTCAAGCATTAATGGAATAGTACTGATAATATAAAGGTCAAGGTAAAATAATCATGCAGGTTAGACTAGTATCTGATATTGTTACATTTCCCTCTTCTTGAGAATTTGAAACTCTTTCAATATACAAATGTCTATTAAATATGTTTGATAATCACTTAACAATAATATTTTTATTACATGAAATAATGAATAATATAGATGTTGAAGTTGTCACTTAACAAACAAACAAGCTTTATCATTGATGAAAATACACACACACACATATATATATATATATATATATATATATATATATATATATATATATATATATATATATATATATATATATATATATATATATATATATATATATATATATATATATATATATATATATATATATATATATATATATATATATATATATGAATTGCAATAATGCCTGTAAATAAAACATAGGTTTTAACTAATAAGTCATAAAGTTCAATCACATCTTTTTTTTAAATGTTTTCTGCTTTATTGTTCATTTGTTACTCCATTTTTCATCAAAGTATCTTTTGTTCTGTTTTACTTCCTGCCTGAACGTGTGACATAAGGGTTATTTTGGCGGGCTTATCATTGCACTCAGAGGTTATAGCGTGGTCAGAATTATGTGATTCTGGAAAGTTACTGACAGTGGGTTCAATAAGGGGTTATTGGGAGGTGATTCTTCCAGGATTCTAGGTGAGAATTCTTGAATTTCTGGAAAGTTTTCCTTTGTTTTGTTCAGCTTGCCCCTGTTTCTGCGGTAAATACCACCTGTTTTAGTGAGCGGTCATCGTGTATTTCTATAACTCTTGATGGCTCCCAGTGATTTTTAACCTGAAGCCGTATATACTCATTTAGTTTTAGAGGGGGGAGTTTTTTGGTGGTTTTATCATAGCAAGATTTTTGTTTTTGTTTGATATCTTTCATTTTTTTATTTATTGTCTTAGGGTCGATGCATTGGGGCTTCAGTTGCGCATTAGTGACAGGTAGAATTGATTTTGTTCTTCTACCCATTAATAGTTGGTTTGATGAAAAGCCAACTTCAAGGGGTGTATTTCTATATTCTAGAATAGCCAAATATGGATCTTTCTGGCTTTCCTTGGCTTTTTTGAATAACCTTTTAACAATGGACACTGTTTTTTCAGCGAGACCATTGCTGATTGGATGTAAGGGGCTTGATGTAACATGTGAAAAAAACCCATTCTCTTGCAAAATCTGCGAAATTTTCTGCAGAGAATTGCGGGCCGTTGTCTGTCATTAGTTTGTCACATATGCCGTATCTGGCCATATGGACTTTAAGTTTTCTAATTACAGTTGTACTTTGAGTATTTGGAAGAGCATCGACTTCAAAGTATCGACTGTAATAGTCTACAGTGACCAGATAGTCCTTGTTGTCAAATGAGAACAGGTCAGCGGCAATGTTTTGCCATGGTCTGTCTGGTACGTCATGTGATATCAAAGGCTCTTTTGCATTTGAATATCTGTGCTTTTGACATACAGCACATTGATTAATATAACTAGTGATTTGTTTTGCCATGCCAGGCCAAAACAAAGCGTCCCTAGCTCGTCGTATAGTTTTTTCCACACCCATATGACCTTGATGAACTGATTCTATCAATTGCTGTCTTGCGGAGGCGGGAATAACGATTGTTTGACCTCTGAATATAAGGTCGTCTGCTACAGAGAGTTCGTCTCTGTGATTGAAAAATTCCACAACAGCAAGATTACAGTCTGCGCGGGAAATTGGCCATTCCTCATTTATCGTCTGTTTCAGCAGATTCATACTTGCGTCAGTTTTTGTGTCATGCCTCAGTGACTCAAGTTTGCGGTCAGTTATTGGTAACCCTTTCAGTACCGTGTGAATATGTAGGTCAAAGTCTTCATTGTTGAATTTATCTTTGAGAGGCATTCTGGACAGCATGTCGCTTACCGGTATTTGCTTACCAGGTACAAATTTGACATTCAAGTCATATTTGCTCAATGTCAGTCGCATCCTCTGTAGCCTAGGAGGACATGCGCAAAGATTTTTCTGCATGATTGCGCATAACGGTTTGTTGTCACTATGAACAGTCACTGTTCTGCCATAAACATATTGATGAAATCGTGTACATGCAAATACTATTGCGTTTAATTCTCGCTCTATGTTTGCGTACCGAGACTCTGTGTCGGTCAATGTCTTGGATGCAAATGCTACCGGGCGGCCATCTTGGTAACATGGCGGAACCACATCCATATTTGGAAACTATCAGACTCGCGGTGTTACTGGCTTTTTGTCATCAAAATAAGCCAACACAGGACTTTTCTGTGATAATTGCTTTCATTTTGTCAAAATGAACTGTGATTGTGGAACATCCCACAAGAATTCAAATATCTTTTTTGAGTAATGCTCTCATTGGACTGGTGACCTCAGCCAAGTTTGGCGCAATTTTTGTAAATAATTTGCCATGCCAAGCACGTGCTCTAACTCTTGTCTTGTCGTTGGAGCCTTAAGATTTGTTATTGCCTCGATTTTCGAGGGATCAGGTTTCAGTCCTGTTGATGTGATGAGGTGTCCGAAGAAAGGCACTTCTGTGACACCTATGACACATTTATCTGGGTTTAGCTTAAAGGGAAAGACAAGGTTAGAATAAAAACTTGATTTCAGAAAAAGAATACTATAAATAATAAACCTGCAAATTTTCTGCCGCCAAATAATAATATTAAACGAATGATAACAAAATTTAAATCGCTAAATCACCGATTTCTACAAATCAGTAGGCGCGGCCATGTTTGTGTATTTGGCCATAATATAACAGGTGCGCGTGATGTCATTTCCCCCACATCTTTAGATTTATGATAAATCTAGTTGAATCGTAGCGAAATATTAATATTATAAAGTATTGACCAGACAATTTTATTTTTCACAGGAGGTGTAGAGGAGATTTTTTTATAATACGTAACAAATACGTTCAAAATACGTAACAATATTCAAAAAAAAATAAATAAATAAAAGAAACAAATAAAAAATCAACGTCTACCGGTCGCACCACTTCAGGCCAGTGATGCCCGTTACTTCAAACAATGCTATGTTCATTAAAGTCTCATCTTAATGTAATTAAACAATATTTTTAATAAATAAACATAATATTATTTAACAAAGTTTCAACAATCAAATAAATGTAATTAAATAAACAAACAAATGACCAACGAATAATGGGTTGTTAATTATTGAACGGCGGATAATTATCATTATTATAAAAATCCTACTAAAACGTGTTTTCTTAATAGTGCATTCAATTAAATTTTTTGCAGTTTGATTCTGACTTTCAAATTAAAAAAGGTGTGAACATATGTTATAATTGATGTACACATTTAAAAAATATAAGCAACTATTTTGAAAAGTAAATTGTTAACATGTCTGTCAACGTATGATGCTGCGTGGTATTTATTTACTTTGTAATCGTAGCCGGCAAAACATTTTTATTGGCTGCTCAAAAATCTAATTTGCATAATTTTATTCAACACAATTGCTGGTTCTTACTACTTATGTCTAATACTGTGCATTATCCATTTTAATTGTTCCTTAATTTGCAACCAAATGTTCCTGTCACACTGTGTACTGACGATTTTTATTGCTCCTTGTATGCCTCTGTGCCGACAGACCTTTTGATCATGCACAATGTTGCCCTGATTGGTTAAATCACCCCTTGTCAAAATATTCTCATGACGAAATAGACAATCTAT